AACTTAAACTATAGTATTTAAATACAGTCAACGATTTACGACTTTATAACTTCAAAAACAAAAGAATGATAGCATTACATGATGATAATGCTTATAAACATAGCATTGAAAAGAGAACGCAAACCTAATTTTGAAGCGGAAAGTGTACTTTGTTTGACATCATAATTTTCATAATAGAATAGCAGTTTCTATTGGTAAAGTTCAAATGCCAAATACATTAAGTCAACTTTCAGACCTGATTGGAAAATTACTGGACGATTAATCCTGCCAAAATGAACTTTCATAGCACTGGCAACATTGACATATTTAAGAGATTAAATCCAAAGAAAAATGAGAAATTTGATGCGACTGTCGTACAAGTGAGAGGTTTAGAGTTATGAAACCAGGTTCAATCCACCATTTTCTACATTTGAAAATGCCTGTACCAAGTCAGGAATATGACAGTTGTTGTCCATTCGTTTGATGTGTTTTATCATTTGATTTGGCATTTGATTAAGAACTTTCCGTTTTGCATTTTCCTCGGAGTTCAGTATTTTTGTGATTTTACTTTTTTTTTTTACATAGTTGTTTAAGTATACTAGATATATAAATCTGATAAATTGGATCAGTCGCACACTAAATTGCGCCAACTTGATTACTTAGCTGAAAACGACATATCGCGGACCACTTCACCGACATTGGGCCTACGGTATAAAAAGGGCGAACACAATCCAAAAATAAATGCCAAACTCCAATTAACGTTAATGATACTAAACATAACCAACATTTTCTAACCTTACATTTTTGCTAAATTAAAAGAAAGGCGAAAGATACCGAAGAGATATTCAATCTCATAAGTCGAAAACAAACAGACAATGCAATTGCAAAAGAGATAACATGAAACATGTAGGTAAAACGGGAGTATGAAGATACGAATGGAGCAATTCATTGACTTGTCATGAATAATTTGAATACAATCTGTGTATATATGAATAAAAGTAGCAATTTTAAAATGTCTGTGATGTATGTTTACACAGTTTTGGCTACTGAATCCCAATTATTGTAATATTAAGCAATATTGTTTGTTTGGGTAGCTCACCTTGCTTTGCTAATATAACGCAACTATGAATAATTGTCATACAAGTGGGAGGATTAGCTAGCTATAAAATCAGATTTGACTCATCATTTTCCTTGGAAAATGACTGTACCAAGTTCAGCAAAACATATAAACAAACTGTAAACATCAGTTGAATATAGCTTGACTCATCAAATAAGCATAAAGCACAAAAACAACACTAAAACAAAGTCCATTTCCGCAATCTTATATTATTTTTCTATTTTCTGCTTTCATGCAAACATTGTTTTACTCGGATTTTCTCTATTGTATACTTAGCTTCAAGGAGAAAGTGTTGAATGCAATATCATTCAAGATGCTATATTTAAAGCTCATCAGAAATGCAATGCAATTCGTTTTGCGTATATTTATTAAGTAAGACCAGTAAAAGTATCGACAAATGTGGCATTTTTATTTTAAAAAGAAATCGAGCTGAAATATTTGAAATTTTATTATAAATTATTTAACTCAGGGTCTTGTAACATGATGATGCTTGGATTATTAAAAGAATATTATAAGTAAAGGGATTTTCGAATTGATCGCATCATATAGTGCTTGAACAGTCGTTACATCAACTGACGTGAAACCGGTAAAACGAATATACATTGGACATACAAAGAAATGAGAAAAATCCACCACAACACCACTGCACAGACATCTTTTACGATACCTGCAGATATTTAGGCGACAAAATTTCTGTGAATAATTCAGAAATTTCCAAATTTTCAAATGAAATTAATCCACCTCAACTCACTCTTGTTAAATCTAGCATTAATAGTAATCGTTGTCCTTTTTAAACATTGATATTAGAATAACTTATGTTAATCTTCAATGCAAAAGTGGTGAAAAACGGGACGACTTTTCATTTGTGTAAATTCCTCAAACGGTTCAATATGTATATGATCATGAATATGTGCGTGCTTGAAGTGGTGTTCTCTATCAAGGAAATCATAACAGAAAATACAAGCTCTGGAATATCGTATCAACTGGGAAATATATACTCCGTATGCAGGCGCTGCTGGAATGTTGCTACATAGAAATGGAAAGTTCACAATTGGGAAGATGAAATTATCTCTTTTATCGTAAACTTTTGTTTTCAATCGACCCTCATTATCAATTTCTATATGAAAGTCAAGATATTAGGCAGACTTAACTATATCTGTTGTATCCTTCATCTCAAGTTCGATGGGAAAAATGCGCTCAACATAGCCACCAAATTTTGCATTATTTAATGAGAGAACCGATTCTGAAGGAAACAATGTAATACAGAAAATAATTTTACAACTGTTATGACAAAGATTGATTAGCAAATCAATCGGAATGCAGGGAAGAAACTAAACAAGAAATAAACATCATTTTATCATCTCACTTAATTTGCATGTGCTCAATTCTTCTGTGTTGCTTGTTTATCAAGGTAACTATCGGTATACTTCGGTCATGAAACCCGAAAGTTAATAAGTAGCCAAAGTTATAGAACAACAATCACCGAAGGAAATATTATTATGTCGTTTGTACGTTATGAATTTGATATACATAGCAAAAAATAAATGAACAGAGTACTACGTTTCGTAAATATGCATGCATTTGTTCAATAATTTCCGTAACAAATATATTCAACAGAATCTCGTTTCATTTGACTTTAAACGTAAACATATAATCTGTGTACAACTGAGGGTTTTATTTATCATCAAAGAAATCACAAATGTGCGTTGCCAATAGGAAAATGTGAACCTGAATGTCATCATTGACTTAACGAATAGCATATGGAAATGTCGCAATTTCGTAACACATTGCAGGAAAGACCAACCACATATACGCATTATTTATTCATATCACACCCTTCGTTCATTGTAATACGAGGAATGTATATTTAATAGATAACAGGCCACATATATATATATATATATGATATTTGAAGAACAAAATATTTGAATGGTTGAATGTTTTCTATTTGATGCCTTCAAAATAAAAGTTAAAGATGCTTACTCTAAGTAACCTATTTCGTATTCGAGACACAGGAAACTTAACCTCGGTCACAGAGGTGTCTAATGATACTTATTGGGGGACACATTTCATGTGTACTCAAATCGGCATTACAAGTTTCTTTTTTATAATCACTTTGTTAGTATTGCTGCTGCTGGTAGACTGTCAGTCCACGCAGGTACCACATGGTTAGTAGTGAAGTTGCTGGTTGATCGTCAGTATAAGTAGGTACCATCTGCGCATTTAGACACCGCGGACATAGCCTGCTCAAAATTACATGTTCCGGTACTTGCATGATTGAAATAATGCATGTTAATGGTATTAGGTTTTCAGTTTTCAGTTTATCAAATTATTTTTTGGATTAATTCGTTCTGGAAAGCTTGACCATGCATCGCATTATATTTCAATTTAGATTCCTTTAATATTGATCCATTCAAGTCTTAAATTTATGTTAGTTCTCCAACTTTTTGTCTTGTGCATATGTTTTGTGTACTATTGTTTGTCTTTTGGACTTTTTCTTTTTTGGCCATGGCGTTTTCAATTTATTTTCAGCTAATGAGTTTGAATGTCCCTCTGGTATCTTTCGCTTCTTTTTTTCATTCAGGTTTTACTTGAAACCCGCGTCGTGTACGTTGATATTGAAATCAGATGTTAATATTAGTGACACTAGATTGATTCCAACATAGTTTCATTTTGAGTCCGTGCAGTGCGTCTTAGTAATATTTATTTGTGTGTTTGTTTTAATTTTTAGTCAGATGTGTTGCATGTCTTGGATGTATGTTTATTAAATTTTGGCTGCTTGATGCCAATTGTTGTCACATTGATCTGTTGTGTCTGTTTTGGTTGCTGACCCAATTTTGTCAATATAACGGAACTATAACGGCACTCATACCACATCTTCTTATATCTATATAAACGACTGTCATACATGTGGGAGGTTTAGCTAGTTTTAAAACCAGGTTTAACTTAATGTTGCAAATTGCTGTGTCAAATTTCGGCCTGAATGGTGTTGGCTTCTGTTTGTTATAAGTACTTAAAAGCTTTTTTTATGTATAAAATTTCACTATACCCAATAAATGTCAATGAAACAGTTGTCTTACACACAAAAAAATGAAAAAGGTGAAAAGGGGACCATAATCGGTATAGATGGAATGGTAGAGCATTTTTAATACTTTTATTTCGATATTAACAAAATTAAAGCCAGCACATAGGCTGTCGAAAACTTTGTTAGTGTTCAAATAATCTTATTGGCTTGGTTATGATTACGTTTGTTTGGTCTCGTTTTTGTATTGTCTTGATTTCAATTTTGATTCCCTTTTAACAAGTTTGTTGAGTTATTATCCACCTATTATCTATGCATGTTATGTTGAATTCAAATCTTTACATACTGTAAGTTTGGTATAAAACTTCGTGGATTACATAAAAATCTTAATATTTCCAATTTTTTACTGATTTATTATGAGAGCTGCTCTTAATCGTATCCGACTTCATTATTTATTACTTGCTGTAAAAAGCTATTTTTGAAGTACAGTACGCAATTTTAGAGAGTAAGAAATAAAGGCAACAGTAGTATACTGCTGTTCGAATTTCATAAATCGATTGAGAAAAAAACAAATCCGGGTTACAAACTAAAACTGAAGAAAAACAAATATAAGAGGAGAACTACGACACAACAGAAACACAACATTAAAGTGTAACACACACAGAAACGAACTATAATATAACAATGGCCATTTTCCTGACTTGGTACAGGACATTTTAAGAAAAAAATGGTGAGTTGAACCTGGTTTTGTGGCTAGCCAGACCTCCCGCTTTTATGGCAATGTTAAATATAACATTAAAATGACAACATTACATGACAGGACTACAATACAAATAAATGGGAGAATATATAGGACAGAGAAACATACGAATAACAACAGACTTGTTTGTGATATCAATCACAAATTAGTATTTTATTAGTTTTAATTGCAGTTGACTGTACTACTGTAGCTATGCAGTTGAATTATTATTATTTCTAAATGTATGTGCGCTTAACTGTATCGCTTCTTCTATCGACCAAGATAACAAAGCAGAATATCAGTTCTTACAACACAAGATCATCCTGCCAAATGTTTAACATGGTTGTTCAAAGTCAGAAACTCGCCAGTTGCCGTCGTTGTTCAGGTTTGATATATTTTGTAAAACACAGTATTATTTTTTATTAATATAAACTGTAAAAAAGATAAATTCTTCAACTCTGAATATAAACTAATTGTCGAAATGTGCATATGGTGCAGTAAAATTGGCACCGTCTATGTTACAAACTATAGATACATTTTATCTGTACATAAATGTTAAATTGAAACTACGTTTACATCCGGTTGAGTAGGACTTCAACGAATATCATTCCTGCAAACAGTATTTGCATTTGTCCAACATGTCCTGAAAATAACATAAAAGTTTTATGTTTTTGAAATATGCGATACCATAAAGAATTGTACGTTATTGTGTAGACCTGTAATTACGTATTACAGTGATTTGTCTCCCAGATAAAGTGTAGTACATACAAAATCGACTGATATATTCTGCTAAATCAATTCAAATGAGAATTGGCATTTTGAAATGTTTACCCCTTCGCTTCTTCACTTTCTATTGAATAATCAATAATGGGTAAATGACAATTTTTTTGTACAGACGAATACGAGCTAACAACTGGAAGAATATTGACCAGGTTTTGCTTTTATTTGTTCAAATACCCCTTCCCAACAAACACAGCGTTATATAAGTGTTATCAATTATACTTTAACATGAAGATGAAATAAGTTAATGCTATAAAATCAATATAGCACAAAAATGACATATTTAATATAATTGTGTAATATTACAACTTAAATGAATACAAAACGAACTTTTGACAACTTTCAAGTTAATGATATATTGCAATTTTTTCAATTCAATTTGAAACGGACAAAATCTAGATTAAACTCATAGTATTTATATATTTTGAAAATTTTAATACTTAGAAATATCTAGATACAAACTACAATTGGGATCAGTTCTAACTTCTCATCAATTCAGTCAAATTGAGTGTGGATTCATATGTCAGGTGATGCATACATAGAAGAAGACGTCTACCCTGTCGGCGCACCCTCATTTTGCTGCAACCTTGAATTGTATCTTCCTTATCGATTTACAAGATTTGTACATTGGTTAAATCCTGTCATCTGATTCTATGACAGATTATTCTGATAGTTCTGAAGAGCGGTTAGAACTGATCCCAACTATATTTCTATTTTGAAAACTATTACATGGATTTGTGAACGTATCCAGATTAAGTGCACAACACCAACTTGTTGCAGAACTAACTATTTTGTTTATCTTGCAATACCTTGTTATTATATTGATACATTGATAGTTAACTGCGTTAGATTTTTTTTCTATTATTTTCTATTGTATATACCACATACTAAAGTAAGGTAGTGGCCATAAGCGTCTACGCCTGCATTCGATCATTAATACAATATTACTTGGCAAATTATACCAAACGTTTACATTATCCGTTTCTTACCTGTAGATTATCATTTTCTTACTCGATCTCATTAAACAGTATCAATCTCGTTTCGCATCTTGTCCATTTTCATGTTTTACACAATTATTTTTTAACAATATAAAAATGAAGTATCTTAAAAACCTTCTCCGCCATGTGATATGATCTGTTTGGGGAAAAAAAGAGTGGGAAAATACCAAGTGGACATTTCAAACCTCATAAGTAGAAAGAAACTGACATCTTCATGGCAAAAACGAAGACTACGAAAAGACAAACAAGTCACACTGCATACAAAACTAAGGAATGAGGTACACGAACGCAACAAAATGCTAGAGAGGTCTCAGGAGCGCCGGAAGGGTGGGTAGATCCTGCTCCTTTAGTAGCATCGTCGTGTTGCTCATAATAAGTACAAATTCGGTGAAAAATATTTTAATAGTGGATTACATAAACGAAAAAAGGGGACATATTCCTGATCATCTACGAAACAGATATTCCTTAACGGTCAACAAACTCGTAATGGACTACGTGAAAATTGCGAAGGGATTACTTCAACTTTTCCACTTTCAACCCAAAATGCAATCGCTTCCTTGTAAACGGCAACCCACTGTCGAAGAAATCATGACGGAAAACGCAAGCTTTGGCATATCGTCTCAAATTGTAGATATAGATATAAGAAGATGTTGTATGAGTGCCAATGAGAAAACTCTCCATCCAAGTCACAATTTGTAAAAGTAAACCATTATAGGTCAAAGTACGGCCTTCAACACGGATCCTTGGCTCACACCGAACAGCAAGCTATTAAGGGCCCCAAAAAAGACTAGTGTAAAACCATTCAAACGGGAAAACAGACTTCATATACAGGTGCTGCTGGAATGTCCCCATATAGAAATGGAAAATTCACATTTGGAAAGTTGGAACCATTAATTTTGTCGTAAAGTGTTGTTATCAACCGACTATCATTGTCTAAATCTAGACGGAAATCAAGATATGAGGCATATTAAACTGTAGGATATCATTTATTTCAAGTTCGATGGCATAAATTCATTAAAAAATTCATCAAAGAATCCATGCTTATAATTTGGGTCACCATATGCGCGTCTCAACCAAACAAAACCATCAAGATGCGATTGAATCATAACAGTTAAAAGCCAAATAAATACGAATTTGAAGAGCATTGAAAACCAACAATTCCAAAAAATTGTGTCAAATACGGTTAAAGCTTTCTTTGTGCGGGAGTAGAGACAACCACAGTGTTTGTAATTGAATTTACAATTTATCAACGGTAGATTAACAGAAATGAATTTATCAATGATATTTCACGTAAAAACAAAGAGTGATGCCTGCTGGGCTGATGATTCCCTCGTAGACGAAACGTCTACAAGCTGAAATACCTGGACTATTATTTAGTACGACAGACGCGCGTACCGACCACACATGACCCAACAGTGGCGTTTGTATCAAAACAATAAAAAGACCGAATAAATACAAAGTTGAATAGAATTGAAAACCAAAAATTACTTTAAGTTGGGTCAACTACGGCTAAAGCTTTTTATGCTTTTTATGCGCAACGCGACCATACGAGACCAACCGGTGGTGCTCGGATCGAAACAGTTAAAAAGTTCAAACGGATACAAAGATGAAGATCATTGAAAATCAGAAACTGTTAAAAGTTGTGGCAAATTCGGCTCAGGCTTTCAATGTCCGAGGGGAGAAAACTCTTAGTGTTTCGACCTTTTTTTAAATTTCATAAACGGTAAATTGACAGAAAAAAAATATATCAATGATAGTTTATGTCAACACAAAAGTCATGACTACTGGTGATACCCTCGGGGAAACGTCCACCGGCAGTGGCATCAGCCCAGTGGTTTTAAAATCTAACCAAAGATACCAGGCTTTTGATTTTGTACGCCAGATGTTCAACATAATCATTTGAATAATTTAGTGAGAGGATTTCATCTTTATAGCGGAACGTGAAGTTAAAGGATTATGCTAGTTTCTTTTATTCTTCAAGAGACATTCATTTATGAAATCTGCCTCATACGAATATAGGAACAAGTTGACAAGAACATGAATACAGTAGGTTCCCGTGGGAAAGACTATTGATTTTTAAAAAATACGTCTTCCAAACGTAATAGATACGTTGTCAAACAATCAAGAATGTTTAATATTAAACCTTACCTTTCTCGTTTGTTGCATTATTTGTGTGGCTTTCTACAATATATAATTAAGAATTAATGCAAGGAGCAAGCATATATCATATGCGGTATTGATGCGCATTACATATAAGAATTATATCCTTAATTTTAGCCCCGGGAACCTCTATAATTTGTACATCAATATTGCGTTTAATCAAAATTGTTGGCAAATGTTTATGGAATGTCTATTATTTTAAATCCAAGGTCGATGCATTGTTATGATATTGTAATTATTATATTTATTTACCTTGGCCTTATAGTTGTTTTTTGTGGCCTTATAGTTGTTTACAAAATAATAATGTAACTGTGCAGTTTAGAAATCACTGAAACGATCACGGAATGATTAGAACTTTCTATTTTACTTACATAACGATTCCAGAATGATCATAATAAAAGATGCGTAATTTAAACGTCAATATTGTTCTAGAAGTTTTCGTTCTACAGTTTTCTAGGAGTTTTCTTTCTGTTCAACTTTGAGACATAGACATTGGATTCTCAGAAATTCTCTGTAATTGTTCAACTGACACTTTTATTTACGAACAACATCATACTAGATTGTGACTTATTGGACGTAATATTCTGTTTGGATTTTCGTATAGTTACGAGAAGGATTCCGGATAAAGAAAAGACAAAGGATCGGACTTATATTTTGACAGTTAAGTTGACGTTTCTATTTGTGTAATACTTCATCTAAACTTGTGTTTTATAAATCTTGTTAAATTTTATTATTGATTTGTGTCTTTTGTTGACTATAATTTAAAGGTGATTTCTGGCCGTAACAGAAATTGGGGGTTCGTCCGGGATAACGTTAATATCAGATTATTTTTTTTCAGTATTTTTATTGAATTAGAATTAGCCAACAAAGGTCAACAATATGGCATTTGATGCTGGTAAATTTTTAAAAACGCCAGACCTGAAAGGGTTTGATAAACTAAAGAAAGAAGAATAAGTGTTGCTTCCTAAAGATCTACAAATAGATTTTAGAGAATCTATGAGAAAACAAATAATAAAGAATTTGGTAATAGACAATTTAGTTGACGCAGAAATTTTTGATGAAGAGGCTCTTGAACTCAAGGTCGAAAATGTTTATGCTTTCCGCCATGTGATATGATCTGTTTCGGAAAATAAAGAGTGGGGAAATACCAAGTGGACATTTCAAACCTCATAAGTTGAAAGAAACTGACATCTTCATGGCAAAAACGAAGACTACGAAAAGACAAACAAGTCACACTGCATACAAAACTAAGGAATGAGGTACACGAACACAACAAAATACTAGAGAGGTCTCAGGAGCTTCGGAAGGGTGGGTAGATCCTGCTCCTTTAGTAGCATTGTCGTGTTGCTCATAATAAGTACAAATTCGGTGAAAAGTCTTTTAATAGTCGATGACATGAACGAAAAAAGGTCGTCTAAGAAACAGATATTCCTTAACGGTCAACCAACTCGTAATGGCCTACATGAAAATTGCGAAGGGATTACTTCAACTTTTCCACTTTCAACCCTAAATGCGATCGCTTCCTTGTAAACGGCAACCCACTGTCGAAGGAATCATGGCGGAAAACGCAAGCTTTGGCATATCGTCTCAAATTGTAGATATAGATATAAGAAGATGTTGTATGAGTGCCAATGAGAAAACTCTCCATCCAAGTCACAATTTGTAAAAGTAAACCATTATAGGTCAAAGTACGGCCTTCAACACGGATCCTTGGCTCACACCGAACAGCAAGCTATTAAGGGCCCCAAAAATTACTAGTGTAAAACCATTCAAACAGGAAAACAGACTATATATACAGGTGCTGCTGGAATGTTCCTATAAAGAAATGGAAAATTCACATTTGGAAAGTTGGAAACATTAATTTTGTCGTAAAGTGTTGTTATCAATTGACTATCATTGTCTAAATCTAGACGGAAATCAAGATATGAGGCAGACTAAACTGAAGGATATCATTTATTTCAAGTTCGATGGCATAAATTCATTAAAAAAATCATCAAAGAATCTATTCTTATAATTTGGGACACCATATGCGCGTCTCGTCCAAACAAAACCCTAAAGATGCGATTGAATCATAACAATTAAAAGCCAAATAAATACGAAGTTGAAGAGCATTGACACAAACAATTCCAATACATTGTATCAAATTACGGTTAAAGCTTTCTTTATGCGGGAGTAGAGACAACCTCAGTGTTTATAATTGAATTTACAATTTATCAACGGTAGATTAACAGAAATGAATTTATCAATGATATTTCACGTCAAAACAAAGAGTGATGCCTGCTGGGCTGATGATTCCCTCGTAGACGAAACGTCTTCCAGCTAAGATACCTGGATTATTATTTAGTACGCCAGACGCGCGTACCGACCACACATGACCAACCAGTGGCGTTTGTATTTGTCTGAAACTTTTAGAGCAGATAGATCTTAACCTGATGAACAGTTTAACCCATGTCAGATTTGCTCTAAATGCTTTAGTTTTTAGAGATATAAATCAAAATCTGCATTTTACCTCTATGTTCTATTTTTAGCCACGTCGGCCATGTTGGTTGGTAGGCGGAGACATCGGACATATTTTGTAAACTAAATACCCTAATGATGATTGGGGCCGAGTTTGTTTAAAATTTGTCTCAGTAGTTTTAGAGAAGATTTTTGTAAGAGATTACAAAAATTTACCAAAAAATTGTTAAAAATTGACTTTAAAGGGCAATAACTCCTTAAGGGGTCAATTGACCATTTTGGTCATGTTGACTTATTTGTAGATCTTACTACCTCATTAATTTACATATAAATAAATATCTTGATCATATATAGAGAAAGATACTTGCATCCGAGATCGCATTATGTGGTGGACTAGTTTTATCATTTTTACTGTCCCCTTTTATTTATAGATGGCCATTCCACTCCCTTTGAAATTACTAAATCGAATATGAAGTACATGCACGAAGAATTTTGTCTACGTGAAAATACGTTGTCCAATATCTCACGGCTTCATTTACACACACAGTGCACTGATTCTTTATAATATTTTTATGAAATAATTTAAAACTTTGTATTTCGAAGAAATACCTATATTACAATATATTACAATTTAGCATATTTAGAGTACGTCGACATGCCGCTGCATGACAATTCATCATTTTTAGACGGCATGTCAAACTGTCACTAGTATGCACCTGCAAGTATCTAATCAACTGTTCTATCTCACATAGAATGACGTACGGTGATGCTTGAAACAATGTAATTGATAAAATGACATTGTCATAGTTTTAGGACACTGTTGTTGTTTGTATATGTATCTACATCAACATCAAACAGTAATGTACTTTATTGTCGGAGTTGTTGTCTACTGATTCATTATAATGTTGATTTCGACAACGAGCTTTGTAACCGCGGAGAAACAGTTTGGTGCAAAACTTCCTCATACATTTAAAATAAAAAATCGTTCAAGATCAATTGACGACTTCATTGAAAAGTTAAATCACAAAAATACTGAACTCCGAGGAAATTCAAAACGGAAAGTACCTAATCAAATGGCAAAATCAATAGCACAAGCACATCAAACGAATGGACAACAACTGTCATATTCCTGACTTGGTACAGGCATTTTCTTATGTTGAGAATGGTGGATTGAATCTGGTTTTATAGCGCTAAACCTCTCATTTGTATGACAGTCGCATCAAATTCCATTATATTGACAACGATGCGTGAATAAAACAAACAGACATAAAAGGTAAAAATGTCAAAATAGGGGTACAGCAGTCAACACCGTGTCACAATCTTAATCTCAACAAAAACAAACAAATATTAAACAAAGAAGCACAAAAAAGCATATATCACATTTAACAACCTCGTTCATTGCTTACTTATTTTTGTATCTTATTTATGTATGCCAAATCAACCCATAAAGGATCGAGGTATTTTAAGCACTGGGACCGAATCGTAATTTTAACATTAACTCTTGCGCAGAATCGCGTGTTTGACGTCAGAATGCAAACGTCACACAGGTAGAGATATAAAATAATTTTGTCGTTTAAAGTAAGCAAAAGTTATAATAGAACAATAACTCAATGGCGGGATGTTTAAAGTACAGAACCACTTCTTATGTATCTAAGAAACATATAAAGTCACACGGACAAAGCACATAAGTAAAAATGAAAAATAATACAAACAATACAATGACGGGGTGCATAGGTACAGAGCCACGTCAAATGTATATCACCAAAAACAGACCAAACAGTAAAAGTAATATTAATAAAGACAAATAAAAGAACACTTTAACACGTTATTAAGATAATAAACAGCGTCAGTACGCAGAATCTATACTTCAAGACCATCAGGTATTATTTTTTATGTTGATTTATCAACAAAGTCTTGGTACATTCTGATGAATTTTTTATAGAAAAAGGACGAGACGTTCTTTGACATACCCCTGGTTTATCAAATTTCTGCTCAGACACTGGTGACGTTTTACAACTTCAAGGAAATGATAAATTCAGGATCACATATGCTGTATATTATGAAGCAAATTCATTTGCATTTTGATTTGTTTTAGTGAATGGAAACTTTTTGCACAATTTTTTACCGAATGACCTTAATTCAAAAGTGTCTTTGCTGCATATCGATGTTTTTTATATTTCTTTTGATATATCTTGTCTGATGACAAACTGTTTATATTTACGGGAAATCGGCGTTTTCAAAAGATCAGTTAGTAGTAAAAAAAAAAATTGAAGTTGGTACATAGGGAGTTTATTCCCATGGTTATTCTTTTTTTATTTTAGTTTTTTTTCCTTATTACTATTTTCAAGAACGTTTTATCATATGCTTATAATCATTAACGTCCAATGAATAGTGCCAATTCTCAGTGTTTGCACGGGAGAAAAATTACTTCTCCACTGAATGCTACAATAACCACTCAACCAAAAACACCCATCATGCATTGTTATGTATGGCAGGAAAAATAGCATAAAAGCAGCGAAAAGCTATTCTTCTGGATGGCCGGAAGTATAGACATTTTTTGCTATTTTCCCGGCTAGCCGGAAGAATAGCCACTGCCTTTTTTGAAATATGCCAATTTAACAAACTAAAGATTTAAAGGGAAAAAAGTTATAGTGGTATGACTTCCATTTAGGGACCTTGTATGTGCAATGTACTCTTATTTGTTTTTTTTTTTTATTAATTTCATGCTTTTTGACAGAAATAATGCAAAAAAAATAAATATTCTGAGTAGATTGAGTCTCAAAACCAAATTTGAGAAAAATGCTTTGTAATATGGCTATACTGATGAATGATCTGTCAAATTGGTGGATAGAGCAAGCCATATACAGTGAGTTTTGTCTTACCTTTCTCTCTATTTCTTATTTTAGACTTTAAACATATTTTGTTCCTATTTAAATCTTTAAGAAATATATAATAATAAGTAAATTAAATTATTCTGAAAGCTTTTATAATAAATTATTAACTAAAAGGGAATCGTTATGTATTTCTCTCTGGAATGCGCCGAAAACTAAGTTTCAAGGAAGTACTTCCAGGGAATTAGTAAATTTTTATAGGAATAGTTCATTCAGCTTGAACTCTTCAATGGCTGATTTGTTATTACATTTCGTACATTTATTTGTTATAGTTATCCCGAAATTTATATTCATTAGCCTAAAAAGTTGGAATTTTGATGAAAAAAGAAATACTAAGTATAAATGGACCTAAAGTGACCTTATAGTGAAGACAAAGAGGTGCATACAGATGTTTATTAGTATCATCTTATAGTATTTTTTTGTATCATATTAACCGTTTTTAAAGCAGATGAGATGAATATTTGATATTTATTAGTTTAAACTGCATTTACTCATGATGCGGCGTGATTTGGATTTTGGGGAATTGAAATTGCTGTATGATATGGTCTTACATTATACTATGTTTCTCTTAAACTATTGAACTGATTATGACAAGACTTGACAGTAATGTTTAAAATAACAACTATTTCAAAGCAAAACAATTACATAACGTTTATGTATGGCTTGTTTATAAGGGCAGCGGAAACGATTCAAATTGGAATATCTCTCGTCTACCAGAAATATCTCAACTGAAAAATAATACAAATGTATCGTCGACCACTACAAATACGTTCTATAAGTATGTTTTAATGGTTCAATGATTAAAATACAAATCAAGAAGACTCAATTAAGTGTAATACAATAAATTCTATTTGAAGGACCAAATTGGCCTTTTTTCCTTTTTTATACGTTGCCGCATATACCCCCCTACCCATCACACTAGAACCACGATCCCGCTACTACCTCTGAAATTATGAAAAATTTCATCGTAAGATCGTGATGGTCGTGGTAATGTCGTTAGAAGGACGTGCCAAAGTCTTCATAATCGTAGAGGTCCACGACCAACTTTAAACATGCTCAAAACATTCGCCAAAATTAGTCGTAGTAAAAGCGTAGGAAGGTCGTACTAAAGACGTAGTAAGATCGGGATGGGCGTAAATGTAGAAGCATTCAAATGGAAACGTGGTGCAAACGGGTAGTAAATGGAAAAGATTTTGCTGCGACCTTACTACAATTTCACTGCAACTATCTCGATTTTACTACGTCTTAATTACGCTTCTACTACGATATTGATACGATTATACTACGATCAGGAAGACAATAGTACGCTTCTACTACGCGCTTGCCGTCCTTGGTACGACCTTACTACGATACTACTACATTATAGCCACGATAATTGCACGACCTCATTCTATTGATATGAAAATAAAACGGATGCAATAACTCCTACCTGTAGTTCAACTTGAGTGTACAATGGGAAATAAAATTGAAAATGGAAATGGGGAATGTGTCAAAGAGACAACAACCCGACCATAGAGCAGACAACAGCCGAAGGCCACCAATGGGTCTTCAAAAGTCTAGATATTTATAGGACTTAGAGCGCAGTGACAACATAGTTGAAACGTGGTTCGATCGTAGTAGACTCGTATTATAAGATCGTAATGCGATCGGGAAGGTCTTGGTAGAAGCATACAGAGATCGTATAAGTCGTGGTAAGGTCTTATTAGACGTAGCAAGAGCGTGACAAGATCATAACTAGAACGTTTTACTATCGTAGCGGAATCGTAGCAGGATCTTATCAAGATCATAGCAAGGTCATTGAATGAACGTTAAAACTATGAAATATTGAATATTCAAGCCGACCAAACCACAATCTCACCGCGATCTTATTTTTTATAGATCAAAGTGGGATCTTCATGGTCTTGGTTTAGTGTGACGGGGGCTTTACTAACACCGGACACAAGAAAATAAAGAAAAGAAATCATTAACGAAGGGCAACGTTTACAAAGCGAATAAGGAACAAAAAAGTAGCGAATAAATGACAGGGTAGCAGTTGAGCGCGGAAACGGATACATATGCGCTTACAGGGTAAATTTGCATCGAAGAACATAGAAAAAAAAAGAAAAAAAGGCAGCAAAAAGGCTAGTTATTAAAATCCGATAGTCTAAAGTTGAGATTGAATACACGTTTTACAGACTGATTTCGCCTAGACAGGGTAATTTGTGGTTTGCACACATGCTTCCTTTCAAAATATCTCAAAAATTTGTTAAGAAAAGAATGATCAAAGAAAAGAATGTTGTAAAAAGTAAAGAAAATAACTAAAAGGTAACGAATAAGGAATAAGTAACCAACTTGAAGGCCATGTTTAACGGTGGTTTGGTTACTGCATACAATTTGAAATTCAACAAGGATTGGTATGATTAAAACTTTCTTTCCGATTGACCTCGAGATTGAAAAATAAATTTCGTTTAAAGGTCTTCGATGTCAGACTACGAACCCCTGATAATGTATTTAAATTCAGTCAGTGTATACGAATAAGTACTTACTTATAATCTTTACACCGTAAATTAAAGCATCTTGCTCAATTGCAAATACTCTTTCTGGCACGGCATGAATTTTGTTTTTCTGTATCCTGTATATTCCAGTGTTAATATTACTAGCATACATGTAAGATCCGTACAAATCAATCCCCATAACAACAATGCCTATGTTTCCTAATGGTGTTACATCTATAGAAAGTGTTTTAACATCGGAGCCGTCAAACTTTGAAGATTTAATGTGATACAATGCACTATCAGTCCAATATAATCTTTTCGAGTCCATATCTGTGTAAATAAATATTCAGAGCGTATGTTGCGGTTTTCTGGAATAACTTTCATAAATACTCTTTTTACTAAATAAAATTTAAAAAGCCCGAATAGAGAATAAATGATAGAATGGGGAACTAAAATAGAACAGCCAAATTAAACGTTGATATTGGATTCGAAATTTCAAAATGACATCCTTCATATTAATGAAGTCAGCTGTAGTAAAATGTTGCTATCTGGTTTATGAGTTGAATATTGATGTTGAAATTTTTGAATTATGGTCATTTATATTGAAAAACATAGCAACAACTGAAAACATGTATACATAGGCAAGATGTATATTTCAAAAATGTATGAGCATTGTAACGTGTTACTTGAAAATTGAACAATTGTGAACAAGTTAGAAATCACAAGTGTTAGAAATCAAGAAAAATCCTGATATGACAAATATTTTCACAATAACAAAATAAACATAATTTCTATAAAATAGAAATAATATAAGATATTATTATTATTAATAGAATAATATATTTCTGCAATAAACGAACATCAAATTTTAAAGGTCACAGAAAACTAAACCATTACGTCGTTACGAACTACGGATTGTTAATATTACGGTTTTTCAATATAGTGTCTCTGTTTGATGTTGTCGTATCCGTGTTCTAGAAAAAAAAAAAACGGTTCCCACTATAGAAAGGTTGAAAATGATCAGCAACTACTCTTGTATTTTAATCTTTAATAAATAACAAGCATTTGCTGATTTAGTCATTTAAGGCGGTTAAAGTACCGGAAAAGAATGTTTTTAACTTGGTTTCGTTTTTGGCCCATACATTACATTTAAACATTCAAGTTATTGTAATTTCAAAATTAAAGTAACAAATTGATGCAGTAGACAAACTCACTGAGTCTCATAGATGAGATCATTGCTTTATCATGCAGAAACGATGTTAATTTGTTCAGTTCACATTGACGTTCTTGACACTATTGTTTGTACGAATACATGTTTACGACGATTTTTTTTAATTGAAGTATATTTGGGTTGCACTCTATATTCTTGATTCTATATTCATGATGAACGATTGAATAATCACAAGATGTTTACACCGTCCTTTCTAGCATGCATATACTTGGGGTGCTTTTTAATCTTCATTTCAATCGTATCAAGATAATTTAACTTATTTTGACATGTAATATGAATATTCATCCAAGTTTGAAATTAAAAAAGTACTGTACACATGTAATTTATTATTTTTGCTAGTACACATTAACCCTTTTTGTTTAATAAAATAAATTTTGCTTCTAGTATTTTAATACTAAAAATATCAATTTTAGAAAATCTCAACGGTTTGATACATTCAACAAAATTACAAACTAGATATGGACAGTATCGCCCCTCCCCCCACTTTTCTGCTCTGCCATATGCATGAGTATAGTTCCACATATTTTAGATTTGACAAACAGATATGTTGGCATACAATTTGAAATTGTTACGCTGTCTGTAAGACACAAATGATGCCCCCGCCTGACCAAAACATGACTAAGTCCAACTACCTGTCATTTTCAGAATATTTGAGAAAAATCAAAATCCTGTGGCCATGCACACCTCCATTATGTGTATGAACATCCTACAAAATATTAAAGCTGCATCTTCAAAACTGAAGGAGGATATAGCCGGATAAACCATGATCTCTTTATGCAGCTAGTACCAAAAAAATTACTCAGTCCAACTACTTTGACAAACATTGTATCCTTATCCTGACGGACGGAAGGACGAACAGACAGACAGAAGGCACAGGGGTAAATAAATATGCCCCTCAGTACCAAAAAAATGACTAAGTCCAAATACCTTGACAAACAATGTATCCTTATTCGGACGGACGGACGGACGAACGAACGGACAGACAGACGGACAGGGGTTAATTAATATGCCCCGCGACATTATGTCGCGGGGGCATAAAAACACAATTTTGAATCTCAATTATCTCGATCACAAGCTAGGTAACTTATCATGTTTTATTTTATAATTTTTTCAAAAAAAAAACTTACCTCAATCTACAAAATAACTCAAAGTTACTAAGACGACAATACAATATGAAACTGTATTAAATACTTACAAAATGAGTGAAATTTTTCGGACATCTATAGCGGTTGGTACTCGGTAGGTACAATATTAGTAATAGGTAGCTTGACATTCATCGAAATTCTGCTCGTTTTCTATACTCGTGAAAAATGTAAAAAAAAAACAACAGTTTGAGACATTTTTCACATTCTATCGTTTTAATTCCATATTTGTAAAAGTAAATTCTTTACCTAAAGCTAAACCATAAGGTGATATCACGTCATTACTTATAAGTATTTGTCTGCTACTTCCATCAAATGTACATCTCTCGATTGTGTGTTTACCATGATCACTGAAGTACAGCCATCTGTAAAAACATATAAACATTTTGATATCTCGGTATCCAGTACGTGCTCTACTACTAATCTTTCTGTCCTTTCTGACTAGTTCCCTGACAACTATGAAATAACTTATTATTACAGTCTGTTATAAAGCATATTAAATAGTCGAATTTATTATTTCTGGAGCATACAAAACACTTAGCATACATAATGTACTTTAGAAAAATGGTTCTTACAGTTCCGTTGCCAGTTATGACTTTTCGACCCTCTTTACTCCACACTTCCATAAGGCCTATCAAGCAGAACTATTTGTTTGATTTGATCAAAATTTATGTTCCTTTGAAATATCATTCTTATTAGTCTGATTAAAATCATACCTCTCACTTGCTATCGTTTATTTATATGTCGCGCGTGGAATTTATTTTCGTCAACCCATATAAAAGCTTTTTTTTGGTAATGAAAAAGATAAATATAGTATGCAAGACTATACACTTAGTTAAAATATGATGAGATTGTTATAGCTCTTAATTTTCCTCCTTGACAAACTATATGTGCGTTTCGACAATAAAGTTTATTGGTAGTTTGTAGATATTTCTATGTCACACATTTTGCTCATTTATTGACAACAGACCTATTCTTGCATTGGTATGAATCACATATTTTGACCAAGCTCATTGAAGATCCGTCTTAATTCAATTTGCCGGTAATGAAAGAATTTAATAAAACTTACCATTACCTTGATGATGTTTTAGCTTTATTTTAGAGATTTACTTCAAGGGTACTGACTTTATATAAACAGCAATAACTATTCTTTTTTTGATTTTGATATTTCTGCTTTACAAGGGAACCTCTATACTAAGATTTACTACAAAACAGACGATTTTCTTTCCTTATTGATATTTCTGCTTTACAAGGAAACCTCTATACTTAGATTTACTACCAAACAGACGATTTTCGTTCCTTGTTGATATTTCTGCTTTACAAGAGAACCTCTATACTTAGATTTACTACAAAACAGTCGATTTTCGTTCCTTATTGATATTTCTGCTGTACAAGGGAACCTCTATAGTTTTTGGTGGGGTTCGTGTTGCTTAAGTCTTTAGTTTTCTATGTTGTGTCATCTGTACTATTATTTGTCTGTTTGTCTTTTTATTTTTGGCCATGGCGTTGTCAGTTTGTTTTCGATCTATGAGTTTGACTGTCCCTCTGGTATGTTTCGTCCCTCTTTTATACTAAGATGTACTACAAAACAGACGATTTTCGTTCCTTATTGATATTTCTGCTATACAAGGGAACCTCTATACTAAGATTTACTACAAAACAGACGATTTTCGTTCCTTATTGATATTTCTGCTGTACAAGGGAACCTCCATACTAAGATTTATTACAAAACAGACGATTTTCGTTCCTTATTGATATTTCTGCTTTACAAGGGAACCTCTATACTAACATTTACTACAAAACAGACGATTTTCGTTCCTTATTGATATTTTTTTTTCCTTTTTGAATGTGTTGTTCATTTTGCCCTCTTCTGACGGTGTGTTTCCCCCAACTTGTTTGTGATGCCCTTGTTTAAGTTGACTTTAAAAAAACGTTATCTGTAAAGCTGGCAAATTGTATAGTAGAGGATTTGGTTACCATAAATAACTTATATCTTTACTTTATTTTTAGACGACTTCAATAAATTTTATGAGACTTCTTGAGAAAGAGGGGCGAAAGTTACCAGAGGGACATTCAAACTCATAAATCGAAAATAATCTGACAACGCCATGGCTAAAAAAGAAAAAAGACCTGTTAAGAGAGTATTTTTGGATTTTTCTTCTTTTTTGTCTTGAGCGGCAGTATCCAACCACTGCTATAGCTACCTAAGCTAACTAACTTCCTGTGGTATTGAGCATATTTGACCCTGTTTTCCAAATTAAATACTTTCTGTATTTCCTTGTTTAAGTTTCCTGAAGCGGTCATCCTGTGCAGATATTTTATTGTGAGATTCAGTTTTACGACATGTGATCAAGATGGGTACAAAGAATGGTTGTTGACGCTTAAAACTTATTTAATCCAATCGTATTTTGTGCCTTTACCAAGTTCAATTATTTGGACCATGTATTATTGTCGTTTGTCTTTGTTTAATGTCTATGGTGCTGGTAATTTGTGTAGTCCGTTGTACTGAGCGATATTTTTTTTTTGTTCTTGCTATAATATCCCGTTTTTGTATCATACATGTAAAGCTTTGGTTTGGAAGTCTAGTTGAAATCTTATTACAAACGGGATATCACATCAAAATTTTACATATAGATATTTTAAAATTCAAACACGAATAGATGTCGATATAAAGAAAAGGAGATGTCATAGTATTGCCAATGAGTCAACTAACTTTTAAATAAAGTAAAAACCAAGGATGCCAACAACTACAGGTCACCAAAGTACTTAACACATTTTCTTATTTTTATATCAAACATCTAATTGTGTTTGAATTCGTTCAAACAATATTTCTCATAGATAATTTATCTAAATGTAGAACTTTTAATTCGAGGATAATTATCTCTACATTCCAAGAAATCTAAACGACTATAGATGACAGAAGTTGTTATTTCCCTGATTCGAATATATGTATGTAACTTGATTTTTTTCTGAACTTTTCTGGATATTAGTTTTCAACAAACATTTAATATAAACAAATATCTCTCATTTTCTCGATAATTAAAAGTTGACGAAAGACCTAAAAGTACATTTAATGATGCTTTTAAAAAAAAACTTTTTTACGCTCAACTTTTACGTTACAAAGCTCGTTGTCGAAATCAACATTATTTTGAATCAGTAGTCAACAACTCCGACAATAAAGTACATTACTGTTTGATGTTGATTCAGATACATCACAAATAACAACAGTGTCCTAAAACTATGACAATGTCATTCTATAAATAACATTGTTTCAAGCATCACCGTACGTCAAACTATGTGCGATAGAACAGCTGATTGGATACTAGCAGGTGCATACTAGTGACAGGTTAACATGCCGTCTTAAAATGATGAATTGTCATGCAGCGGTATGTCGATGTACTCTTAATATGCTAAATTGTAATATATTGTAATATAGGTCTTTCTTCGAAAAATAAGATTTCAAATAATTTCGTAAAAGTATTGTAAAGAATCAGTGCATTGTGTGATTAAATGAAGCCGTGAGATATTGAACTACTTATTTTCACGTCAGACAAAATTCTTCGTGCATGTACTTGAAATTCGATTTAGTAATTCCACAGGGAGTGGAATGATCATCTATAAATAAAAGGGGACAGTAAAAATGACAAACCTAGTCCATTATATAATACGATCTGGGATTCAATTATCTTTCTCTATATATGATCAAGATATTTAGGATATATTTAAATGAGGTAGTAAACCATCAATACAAAAAAAAAGGACCAGTTAATGAATTACACAATTTTCATTTAAAATGTAATCAAAGTTTCCTTAAAAATCATGATAAAAAAAAAAAATATCTGTTTCAATCTCTATTGTTGAAAATAAAAACAACGTTTAAAAAATGACCACAAGTACAAAATAGCTTGCGCTGGAAAAAAACACAGTCAAATTATTATTTTTTTTTCAGTTTCTTGGAAATCTTTTTTTTTTCGACTTGACAGTTAAAAAAAATATGTTATGCACAGAATTAAGAAACTGTTCAAATCTTGAGTTTGATTCTTTTTTAAATTTTTGTTGTATGGACGACAGAAAGAAGTACGAGCAAGCGAAACCTAAGTTGTTCGTTCTGAAGACAATTTCGATTGGAACGTATTACTTTATTTAGCAGTAAATCAGCCTAATTAAAATGCAGATCCCATGTCCATTCTTCTTGGAATCGAAAGAAAATATGTATGCTTAACTGGCTAAATTAATCAATAATATATGGCCATAGCTGCTCCCATAGCACATGAATTGTTCGATGTGAAAAAAAACTTCAATTTACCTGTATCTTACTCCTCAAATCTGAACAATTCTCGACTGGAAAAGAAGGAACATGGTGTATAAATACTTAATTTACAACACGAAGTCCCTACTTGCAATTTGCAATACCAAAGGCAAAGGAACAGTGCATTTTATTGCTGCTCTTCATCTGAAAGACACACTTTCAGGCCTGCTAAATTTGTATTTCCAACTTTTTTTCAATTTATACGCAAAAAGATGGGCCTCTTAATGTCAATAGCTAAAATTATAAATGAAGTTTGGTTCCTGAAAACTCTGCAGTTTTTGCAATTCTGAAATTGAAATTTTAGTTTGCTTTTCGAATTACAAGTATTAATTCAATTATAGTCTGAATAGAATTATTCTAAGTCTTAAGTTAACCAGAACCTTAAGATATAAATCAGAACGTAGATAAAATTAAGCCTTTTAAAATTTTGAAATTCATTTTCGTTCCCTTCTATTTTCGATCATTCTAATAAAATTGAGAATGGAAATGGGGAATGTGTCAAAGAGACAACAACCCGTCCATAGAGCAGAAAACAGCCTACAAGCCTAAAGCTACAATTTAATATTGTGCAGTGTTTTAAGTGATCAACAGGGAATGCCACTTGATGAAAGTCACAAATGATGGCCAAAATATATGATGAAACAATTACCATATTTCATTTTACTTCTCGGTTCGGTGTACCATGAAATGATGTATTATAGTTTTAACAAAGAAGAAATTCGGGATAAGAAATTTCTAAATTGATAATTTTTACATTGCATTTAAAAATCCATTGCAAGAGTATTATATGATTAGAAGTCATCGCTCGTTGTTGGCAGTTATGTTTCGCCACTTTTCGTTCTTGTCCTGAGAAGATATTTAAGGGGACTCTATTGTTTACCTCATAAAATCAAATAACGGATAATAAAAACATATTCAATTTCAATTCGAGAACGAGTGGCTCATTTTCTTCTAGCAATTTTTGTCTTTTGTTAGATATTGTACTTTCAACGGTATTGATCAACCGAGAGTTACATTTAAACTTTTTGGTATAAATATGCTAAATCATTCATCTTCTAAACAAATTGTCAGAAGATAACCGGAAATATCAGAGAAGAATGATATGAATTTTAAAAAAAGAAGAAAACACATCTTATGCAACTAATTAAAAGTAAAATTGACCTCTATAATTATTTACACACAAAACAAGTACATCACTGAAACATCTCAAAGTGCCCGAATAGAGCCTGTTTTTAAACGCGAACTGGACATAATGTTTATGTTTATCTTCAGACTTACTAAATTTTATCAACCGTTAGTGAACCATTTTTTAAGATTATGAATGGCTTCTTTACATATTCAATGCAAAATAAACTAAAATTAATATTTTTGTTTTGTTTAGAAAATACAGTGTGTGAAATAATTTTAATGAAAGCTTACTGAAGTTCGTTGATAGGAATCCGATTCACGAAGGCGTGACAAATTGTCACCAATGTCCAATGAGCTTTTCTGTTGTACAAAATTTGACATGCGGTGATGCTTGAACGCTGTAAATTACATTGTCATAGTTTTATGACATTGTCTTAGAACATCAAAAGACTAAAGTGACTATGTCATTCCGATTCAAAACTAAATTGATTTAGAAAAAGTGCTTTGCAACCGCTGAGAAAAAGTTGAGTGTAAATACATTTGTCTTTTAATACAACTGCCATATAAGGATAGAAATGACGCCAAATGGATAAAATTATCGGTTTTCAAGAGCTAAACTGACAACTTCATCCCTATAATGGCTTCCAATTTCACGTTTGAAAAACAAATAGGTTAACTAATTTTGATGAATCCTATCTGATTGACTGCTTATCATGCATATCTTTTTATCTGCATAAAAGCTTCATATATAAGTTGCAGCCGATATTTTATACTACATTTCATATATTTTTTCATGTCGCACTCTTAATTGTAAAAATTGTTTAGTTCATTTCCCAGTTTAGATGATAACTTAAATTTCTCAAATATATCACGATCTATCGCAAAAAATGGAAGTTACTTTTCTACCTTTTATAAGATACGCACCGGTTTGGTCCGGAATTTTTTATGCGAGCAAAACTTATATTATTTGTTTTGATAAATATATTTAGATACACAATTCAATGGTTCATAATGATTTGGGCTGTGTTAAGCATTTAATGTATTAACAAAATATAATTTTGTTATGTACCTAATGTAAACTAATGGCTCGCCGCTAAGACTATAAATTGTAGCGTTTCCTATATATATGATGTTCTCCATTATTATGCACAAAAAATATCATTTTTTTTAACTTATTGAACGTCTACGTGTTTCCTTTATACACATTAACGACGCTTCGTCAATGACCTTTTACGCGACCTTGCGCAAGCGAGATAAAGGTCAGGAATTTAAGCATGTTTATTTTCTCCCCTTTTTTTGCCTTAACGGCAAATGACGACTTTTTTTTCCAAGTTTCATGATCTTGATTAATTAAGTGTGTCTGTATATAAACCACTTACAAGATTTAGATTGCTATTTTTGTCCCATTTTTAGCCAAATACCAAAGCTTAGTTAGCAAAAAATGTACACACATACCTTAAGAATTCGTAGTAAAAAGTTGAGATTGCCTACCTGTTTGAAATATCAATAGTAATGGTAGTTGGTTTTTCCAATGATTCGTTTAAAATATCTACAACATTAGAACCATCAAAGTCAGACCTTCTTATTGGTCCTCCATCTTGGTCCGCCCAATATAGGTGACCGTTCTGTGAGTCTACGGCTATTCCGATAGGCCTTGAATTTGTCTGTTGTTGAACTATAACCTCTTTATCCGATTTTTCGTTTCCGGACCTGCATCTTCTCCTTCAAACAAAAATACATGTATGTGTATTCAATAAATGGATTTATATGGGCCAACAAAATATCATGTATGTGAACAATTCCGTTATTGGGTACTAAAAAAGGCAACAAGCACAACGAAATACACTGAATCATTGTGCAAAAGTTAATTTTATTTACAAGATAATAATTTGTTAAATTTGCTTAACGAATTCAAATTTAAGTGCTTAGAATCTCGTACAACACCTTCGATGAAAATTGCTATTGAAAATCTGATAATAAAAATGTGTGATTCACTTCCCGTATATATCTTTATGTATAATAAGGGCAACAGTAGTATACCGCTGTTCTAAACTCATAAATCGATAGAGATAAAAACAAATCCGGGTTACAAACTAAAACTGAGGGAAACGCATCAAAAATAAGAGGAGAACAAAGACAAAACAAAAACACAACATTAAAATGTAACACACACAGAAACGAACTATAATATAACAATGGCCATTTTCCTGACTTGGTACAGGACATTTTAAGAAAAAAATGGTGGGTTGAACCTGGTTTTGTGGCATGCCAAACCTCCCGCTTTTATGGCAACGTCAAACACAACACCAAAACGACAACATCACATGACAGGACCACAATACAAATAAATGGAAGAACATATAGGACAAAGAAACACACGAATAATAGCTAACAAAATGTACTAGGCTTAAAATTCAATACGCCAGACGTGCGTCTCGTCCACACAAGACCAACCAGTGACGCTCAGATGAAAAAAGTTTGAAAGCCAAAACAAGTACAAAGCTGAAGAGCACCGAGGACCAAAACTTCCAAAAAGTTGCGCCTAACACGGCCAGGGTTTTCTGCCTGGGACAAGAACATCCTTATTATTTAGAATAATTTATAATTTTGCAAACAGTAAATTTTATAAAATGACTATATAATAGATATACATGATAAAACCGAAGTGGGGACTAACTACAGAATAAAAACGGATACATTACATAAAACAACTTATTCCAACACATAAAAAAACACAGCCGAGTTAGCCAAAGCCTCAACGCACAAAGTGACGTCACATTTGAAATTCCAAAAAAACACTCAAAGTGACGTCACATTAGAATTTGTAAAAATATTTCCCAAAAATAAGATAGGACTAGGATTGATTCAAGATTAGATTTGTAATACTGACATTACATTTATTGATAACACTGAAAATTACAATACTTATTAATATCAAATTGTGGAAGTAATTAGATAATTAATTGTATTATCTATCTATGTCGGTGTTTCTTCTGAATCAAACTGTAAACCAAATATATATGTATATTTTGTTTCATTTCAAAACTTAAAAACTACTAGCAGTAACATTGATACCTGCTGATTGTATTCGTATCCAGATCTGACCAGTAAATATATCCATCTATTAAATCATAGTCAACATATATAACGGAGCTATCCATAGTCTCCACAAGTATCCTCAAATTGTTACTATCCAAATCTTTCGAAAATACATGTGTGCCGTTGGAAAATAAAAGTTGTGGTCCAATACCTGAAACTAAAGTCATCTGACGACTTATAGCGGAACAATTTCGATTCACAGTCATGCTTTTCAAATTTTTATGGACTAAGATAGGTATCGGTATATCAGTATATCATTTAATTTATTGGTTATGATAATAACGATGTAACTGGTATATGCACTAAATAATTTCCTATTGCACTGTTTATGATGTTGCTGTACACACAGCCACTGGAGTAGGATTGAGATAAAAAAAAAACTAGATATTATATGCCTGGCCAAAGTCGGGCAAATTGACAGTGATTTGGTTTGTCATATAATTATCTTAGTGTTTTTTATGTCATATCTTAAAATGTTTGGTTTAGTCATAACTTAATGTTTTGTTTTGTCCTATAACCTGGACACTTTTAATTTGCCAAACACTCATTTGCAAATCCTCAACCGCCTTTCCTTAGAACTACAGTGTCATTTCTATAACCAAAATGTGCAGAATTACATGGGATTCAATAAATTCATTGGTTTTTTGCTTTTATTATTAAATATTTAGAGCAATTTGATTTTAAAAAAAACAAGGGATTTTCAAAATCCCATGGGACAGGGCAAAATCCCATGGGATTGAGCATTACCTTAGGATTTAGTATTATATTAGGATTTTGTTGGGTCCCATGGGATAATTGTTTAAAAAATCCCATCGGACAACAATTATCATAAGGGATTTCTAAAATTCCATGGGATGATGGATTTCCTTTAGACATCAATGAAATTGGATACAGTGTTTTTTGTGTTTTAGCTATCAATCTCCTAGTATTGTTTCTATGGTGGATGATTCTTTTGTTAATGGTATATATTGTTCTATAACTGCTCCAAACAAAACATTTAAACAACAAAGCAAATAATTTATGTATCAATATATATGTTTATTAATGAATTCTAGAATAATTTTTTTTTGAAACACAGTTATCTACTAATAATTCAATAAAAATATCGATAAATATGATTAACAGTTTTAAACTCTTTTATTAAGGCTTAATATAGCTATTTACATAAAACTATTTTTTTCAAGATATCCCTCCCCCCAAAAAATAATAGTTTCTTGTAGACATATACTATAGATTTATAAAGGACTTATATTAACAATAAATAACCAATATGTACAAAACATAACAAATTTTAATTACTGACATTATGAATACTTTATCAAAAGGAAGCAAAGCCCTTAGTGTTGTCTACGTTACAATTCATATGTATCAATATATGTTTATTCATCATACATTATTTTTATCAAAAATATCATACATAAATATTTTGTTACTTCATATTGATTTTAGAAAATTTATTCAAGGTACCAATCAAAAAGAAGGAATTGCTAAGATTAAAATAAACCAATTTTGTGGATTCTGTAAAATCATATACCTTTGAAACCAATCAGTTGCAAATTGCATCAAACTTAAGGTTTTATTTTTTCATATACTGATATGTTATTTTATTAAGTGTGTGTTTTTATGTTGTTTTTTTGTTTTTTTGTTTTTTTTCTTGTTTTGTTATGTTTTTTTCTTTTGGGGGGAAGGGTGTTCGAAAGGTGATATTTGAAGTTTGACATTAAGTCTAGAGACTTACCTTTTTTAAAGATCGTTTTTGGCCTGTGGATGTTTTTTTGTTTTTGTTTCCTTAGGTTGTTGTTTCATTGACCTATACCCAAGTCCGCTTTTTCAAATTAAATAAAAATTATGTAAAGATAACAGAAGAGAATAATAATTTTGTAGTTAACTATTTGGTCATATATTAATACCAAATAAGTTTCCAATACTTGCAGCTGAACGTATAGTGCCAAAATATTTCCAATGGGTATTAAACAGAGCATAAAATTTTGATGTCATATGAGGACGATGCGACGACTAGCCAATATGTTGTCATCAAGTCTAAGCTCACAAGATTAAACTAAACGGACATTTTGATCGTCATAATGGATTTGTATTCGAAACAGGAGAAACTCTCCGTTTCTAAAGCTCGTCCTATATTTTTCAACACTGTGTATAAGACTACAGGTCTGATAAAAAGAAAAATTAGCAGATCTACATTGCATTTGTTATCATCTCCCCGGATATTGATACATTTGATATCGAATGATGGGGGAAATATAATAATTGATTATCGCAAAAGGTAAAAGCCATCATCATAAGAAGTTAAATGAACAGATCTAGAACACTACCATTTACATTACACATGAATTCACTTCCTAGTATTTTAAAAATAAAATTACTTATCGAGTGAATTAAAAGCAATAATTTTTATGATGATGTTCGTGTTTCTCAGTCTTTAGTTTTCTATAATTACATTACATGAATATTTTATAAGAATCCATAATTTTGACTGACAATACTCGCCAGGCATTCCAAAATGATATTTCATTTTTCAATTAAAACGAATATCTTGTTATAACGCATAATTTCATAGTTGTAACATAGTTATTTTATTATAAGAAAAAAGTAAAATCACAAAAATACTGAACTCCGAGGAAATTCAATCGGAAAGTCCCTAATCACATGGCAAAATCAAATGACAAAACACATCAAACGAATGGACAACAACTGTCATATTCCTGACTTGGTACAGGCATTTTCAAATGTAGAAAATGGTGGATTGAACCTGGTTTTATAGCGCTAAACCTCTCACTTGTACGACAGTCTTATCAAATTCCGTTATATTTACAACGATGTGTGAACAAAACAGACATTATAAATAAAATAGTCAAAATATGGGTACAGCAGTCATCACTGTGTTACAATATCAAAACAAACAATTATTTACGAAAAAGAACAAAAGCATCTATCAAATTAAAAACCACATTCATTGCTTCGCGTGTCTGACGTCAGAAAATGTAAACGTCACATAAGAAGAAATTTTGTCATTCAATGTTTATTCAAAACAATTTTATAATTTCACATGTGGAATGTTGGTATACAGGGTTAAATAATCAAAAGTTGTGTTAGAATTAATTTCAGAAATAGACCGAGATTTAAAATTGTCCAGAAGTTCTTTAGAATATTTAAGAATCCAAATATGGTTAATACCACTACGGGAGTAAAATAAATTTGTCGTTTGTCGTTCAAAGTATTTTCAAATTTATAATAGAACAATAACATAATGACATATAATAGAACAATAACATAATGACGGGATCTTTTAAAGTACAGAGTCACGTTATAAGAACCACAGAAACACAAAAAGTCGCATATACAAAACACACCAGCAAAAATGAAAGATAGTACAAACACATTGACGGGATGTATAAGTACCTAACCACGTCAAATGGATATCACATAAAACAAACCAAACAGTAACAGTAATATTAATAATAGAACAAAGACAAATGAAAGAACAATATTACACGTTGTTAAGATGATAAACAACGTCAGTATGCAGAATCTATACTTCAAGACCATCATGTATTATTTGTGAAGTTGATACGGAATATTTATCAACAAGGTCTTGGTACCAAGAATTGATTGCTTCTTTTTGGAATTTTATAGGGTTGTAAAGGCATTGATCGTGCTCACAGTTTAAGTATGAAGCGCGGAATTATGCTTTGGTCAAACCTTTTGCACCATAATAGAATAACAAAAAGAAGCTTCAAATGTAACGATTTGTGGACTTGTTCTTGTTTTTGTTTTTTTGCCATGGCATTGTCAGTTGTCCTTCGAATTATGAGTTTTGAATGTTCCTTGGGTATTTTCCGCTCCTTTTTGTATCTCCAGAGACAATATATGGTATTGTAAACGTACAAAATGTAGTAAGTGGTAAACAAAAATGTACTTACAACTACAAGATCCTAAGGTAGTATCTTCTCCATTACCTGCAGTGTATAAATTTTCTTTTTTGTTATGCTGTAGTGAAAAAAACAAAAGACTCACCGGAGCCTTTATCGCTCACCTGATAACAACATGCATCATTAAAAACAAAAGCAATAGTGGAATGCATCTTTCACACACTAAGTAAATTTGTGACCCAGTTTGATCCAAATTAAATCCACTCGGAGAACAGTTAAGGTAGATTAACTGTATACCGCCATCTTGGATTGTAAAAAAGCAGTACACAATCGGTAAGTTCTTTTTTTAACAATGCAAATTTTGAGACAGATTGGCAATTTATATGTAGACTGTTTATTTAAATAACAAAAACTATGTGATTTATTGCCTCATTCAGACTGTTTTAACAAATACCAAATGGTTTTTTTTTTTAATTAATTTTGCAACGTAGCCATTTAAGGGGAGATAACCCAAATAGTAAACTTATTATGAAGGAAGATTAAAGAAATTGTCTTTTTTTACTTGTAGCAAAAAACAAGAACAAGTTCGGTGACACTGTTTTTATTTTTATTTTCTTAAAGCATAATTTTATTATAAAACCTATATTCTCATATTTATTTCAAAATTCTTTCTCATAGATTTCTTTTTATTCACAAAAAAGAGTTTTTTCATGAATAATCAATGCAAATTTGGGCAATAATTTTGCACGACTAGTAGCTTGAAAAATAGCACAGTGACACATACTTTTTATTATATTTTTGAAAAAAAAGCATGATAAAATTTTCATTTGGCAAAGTATAAGAAAATTCTATCTGAGGAAATCTATACCGATGACCCACCGTAAATAAAAATGGCAACGTCAATTAAGGACAAATGTAACCTTAATAAAAATTCAATTAACGATTTTCATCAGTTTATTGTAGATCTTGTCTTTGCTGTTCATAGTTTCTTCTGTCTTTTATATATATATATATATATCAACTGAAAGTAATCGCCACAAATGAAAAACATGCTAATATATAAACGTCCATTGACAGTAACTGCTATAACGAGTCAATAAAAAATGTTGACTGACTTAACTTATATTTGTAGATCTTATGTTGTTGATAATTTTTGCAGGAAACAGTTTGTCTCTCAATTTATGTTTCATAGTTTTCAAGATAATAGCAAAACACAAATTAAGGGTCACTCACCCTTGAAGAGCAATGACTCCTATAAGATTGACAAGTTCAGTTAGGCTGACTCATTTTTGTTGTGTACAGTTTCTCTTTAGCTATCAGAGTTTTCAAGAAAATAGCCCCAAAATGGGTAAAATGTGTCAATAACAGACATTTCTATAAATAGTTGATTGTCCATATCGGTTATGTTGGATATATATTTGTAGATATTAATTTGCTGATAATTAATGCTGCAATAGTTTTCGCCAATAATACCCTCAACAAATTAATTTCTGAGGAGCAATTAATGTTATAAGGAGTCAACTGGCGATTTCAGTCTTTTGACTTACTTTTAGATCTTGCCTTGCTGATCAGTTTTGCTGTTTAAACTTTCTCCCTGATATTGTACTTTTGAAGTAAGATCTCTTTTTGATCGCCCTTATCCCATATAAAATATTTGAAGATGTGCGTTCTCATCGCGATTACCTTAATAAGTTAACTTCAAAGCTTTTTAACCAAGGTTGATGTAAAGTAAAGTTGAAGTGATCTCTGCTCAACGATGATTTGTATGAACGTTATGGATAAGTTTTGTCACCAATGACGATGGTATTTTCAATTTATAAAAAGATTATTTGCTGATTAATAAATAATGATTCAAATCGGGATAAAGTTAAACAAATATTCATTAATCGGTCGAGAGATGTAACAAAATTGAGTTCGGTGTTTACGATTTCCTTCCCTTTCCAAAACTAAACAAGATGTAAACAAAGCATATAAATCAGATATACTAGTGTACGTAACTATATGGTAAGTAATTATTTTCCGTTATCAAGATAAAGTTCAAACTGTCTGTTACACGTAGATATAAAGTAATCCATCATAGAACTAGACTAAGTAGAAACATGCACTTAAGCCAAAAGATAGTATATTAAGAAAATTTGAACAAGTCTTAGAGATGACAAATAATATCTAAAGTCTAATTGTCGAAGTCCAAAGATGATAGTCAAAAAACTGAAATGCTTTGTTTGTCGTAGTCTCATATTCAAGTCTTACTTTCCTCGTAGATCATAATCAACGAATGCATTTTTTACTGGACTTTAACAAGACACGACGGGTGCAAGTAGTTATGCAGGCATTGTATAGCTTTCATTAGCTCTTTGTTCATCTCCAGTTTTAAAGGATTTGTGTTGATTCTTCGCATTTTGTTGTTTTTTTTTCATTTTTTTTTTTTCATTTTTATGCTTTTTGAGTTTCTTCGAGTTATGTTTTTATTGCCCCTTGATATAATTTTATACATAAAAGTTCGAAGTTATCGTTGATGTGCAAATAGTTTGTGCATTTAAATCGCAAAATCAATAACCTGTGAAAATATCCGCATTGCAGTACGTACATTTATGTCTGATCCGGCACATGTTTAAGTCATACAAATGTTACGTGTGTGTCAGTTTTGTGGATGTTTCTTACTATATTGGTATTTTTGAGGGTCTAAAACTAGACGAATTGCCAAAAACTAAAGAGGAATTATACAGATAAAAGCCGATCATAGCTGTAATGTTTTTACCTTTTTCTAATGTTGACCTTTTTGTATCTGTTTGGTCAAGTATTTTGTCTTTATCAGTTGTCTTTGAGAACAGTGAAGCAGAAAATTTTCCTCGACACACCGAGTTGTAGCCTCTTTCATTTTCTATTTAAAGAAGGATATGTTCTCGTGAGTTTCTATCCCCCGGTTTTTATATAATTGTGTATTTAGTTTTCCAAACGTGTGTTCTCGAGAATCAACATGAGGTGCCTTTGGGAAACGCATACCGAAACAAGTATACAATTTGTATTTGATTTCATTTATTTATCAAATCATGATATATTTCGAGAAAATATGCTACATTTATCTTAAGTAATATATTCCCAACGGAACCAAAATTTGTAGAAAGTTTGATCTGGATCTATATACTATGGTTATAAAAAAATTTCAATAACATATATATGGCGGCGATAAACCTCCTTTCCACTTTTCGTTTTATCGGGATTTTTCGTAAAACATCATAAAGGAACTACGATTTCCTGATGACGAATACTATGGTGACAAAATAAATTGAGAAACATGTAAAATCAACGTGTTACAAAAAACACATCAAGAGGTCACCAGGTAGCAGCTGTCTCGTATTACAGCCTGAATTAAGCAGTCTATATCAGTTTAACCGGGCAGGTAAGCCTTAATCGCTCCTCGCGTGACCTGGAGGATTACCCTTTACCATGGGCCTTTCCTGCTCCCTATTGAGTTCCATTTCCGGAGATCTGATACGTTCAATTTAACAATTTATTAAATTTTAAAGTAAACATCACTTTTGTACATTATTTTATTTTTGAGAAGAATATTATGCACCTGAAGGGACCATAAATGGTAGCAGTGTCGATTCGGCTCTACATACTATGGCCTGAAATACCTTCAACAACATGTCGGTGATAACAAAAAATGCGGCTTCAACTTTTCGGGATTTTTCGTAAAATATCGTACAAGAGCAAACTTTTATCTGGTTACAGTAAAAATGAGTATCAATTTTCTTGCAAATTTGTATATCTGATTGCGGAAAGTATGATGAAGCGTAAAACAAACATGAAAAGTCCACTTGTTAATAGCCAATATACCGAACTGTAGCTCATCAGGTAGTACCTGTCTCATGTTACGAAAACATTAAACGTTACATGTAACGCCATTGGCTGATAAGTCTCTGAGTGATAATCTGGCCGATACAGAAAAATCTATCCATTAATCTGTGCATTAAAATAAATTTATCAAAACTTACCAAATTTTAGTTCCACCAAGTAAAATGATAAAATTATGCTTGATAATATGGTGAACATAGCAATATGGTGTGTTACAGGATTACTTATCAATAATACCTTAGGCTAGTTTAAATGTTCTCATTTATAAAAACAAATATGGAATTGGGTGGTTATAGATCGACAACGTTTCTTTGTTCAGCCTGTCCATCAGAAACATTTTTATTTTTAATGCGCAATTGAAATTGTGATATGGTTAGGTTTTGATTCTTTACAAGATTTAAACACTTAAAAGTGATGTTAAAGTAGGTCAGGGTTTTTGTTTTATCTTATAATAAAACCCTTGTTGTTTCTTTTGTTATTGGGTGTTGATGTATTGTTACCAATTGTGTGCATACAGATCCAATTATCATATTACGCTGACAAAGTTGTTCGGCCTTTTTATTGTAAACATTCCTTTTATCTCATTAAGGATCAATTGGTGAAAATATGTTTTCTTTATTCTTTATTCAGTCAAGGAAGTTTTATCTCTTTCATAGGAAAAACAGATGAATTTAAGAAAGAAAAAAAAACGTCTTCCTCCAAAATAGACATAAATACTTAATAATTAAAGCTTTTGCTTGTGAAACTTCCTCGTTATAAATTAAGAGTAGTTGCTTTTTTTATAATAATTTCCTGCTTCAGATATTTTTTGATTTCCAAAATTTTTGTTTTTGAGCGTACATGAACCAACAGTCGCTTGATTTAAGACAGACTAACTAATTGTCCTATACGGTATGTCGAGACAATATATCGTGAAAGAATAAGTAACGTTGATCAAGCTTTACGACCGGAAAAGAATCAGAACAAGAAGTATTTCAAAATGTCAAAATGGTTCAACTCACTAAAATAGGCAGTTATTTAATTTGATCGTGAAATCGATGCTTGACCAGATTAGACTGTATAGATTTTGGTCATTGTTACAGGCCCAGCTACAGAGACTTATAGTTGCTCATATCTACGTCATTTTGTCTTTGAATGAAAGTTGTGTCATTGGCTATTATACCACATTTTCTTAATTTTTAAATTAATCATCAGAATGTTAGATTTCGTTTACCAATTGGTGTACTTTAATTGACTGAAGCGTGTGTTTTTATTCATGTATTTATAATTATTAGTGTAATTGACCACCATCTCATTTTCTAAAATTTTTTTTTTTAAAAACCCAAATAATACTAATGATATCAATTTACAAGAAGTACTTCTTTGGTCAATGAGTAAAAGTAATCAAGATATGTTAAAAGTCGATCGCTTTTATCCTTCATGAGACAAGATATTTCTGTTCAATACTTAAGAAATATTTTATTCATATATATTAACATATATGTAAACCTGCTTTCACTTACAGGCAATAAAAATGCCACCAGCAGTATAACTTGTAAAAAAAATTAGTATCTGTGTGTCTATAATTCTAACTGCATTGGCGAATACGCAAAACCAGAGGGGATCTTGCCATGAGTCTTCCCTGGCAAAACACTGAATGTTGAAGAGTTGTAAAGCTCCTTGCCACCTATTTTACTATCATAGTAATTTGAGTTTTGTTTCTACTTACATTTATAATCATTATAGTATCCAACAAGGTAGTGGAAATACCAACTTACGTACAGTGTACCTCGATTTTAGTTGGATCGATCTCCATGCTTGGTCTGTAAATTTACCGATTGTGTTCTATTCCCGATCGTAACCAGTCTGCAACAAAAAGACGCTTATCTATTGGACACAACCGGTCTCGCTCAGTTTTCAGCTGCCATAATTTTTTTTTTCTCTTGGTTTGTATCTTCAAACATATGTCTTAAAACTAAAGAGATTATGTCCTTTTCAGCTGATTTTTATTGTTTGTTCATATGTTGTACTGTTACACCACTGTCCCAGGTTAGGGGAGGGTTGGGCGCCCGCTAACATGTTTAACCCTGCCACATTCTGTATGTGCCTGTCCCAAGTCAGTAGTCTGTAATTCAGTGGTTGTCGTTTGTTGCTGTATAACATATTTGTATTTAGTTCATTGGTTTTTTTTTACATAAATCAGGCCGTTAGTTTTCTCGTTTGAATTGTTTTACATTTGTCATTTCGGGGCCTTTTATAACTGACTATGCAGTATGGTTTTCACTCATGTTGAAGGCCGTACGGTGACCTATAGTTGTTAACTTCTATGTCATTTGGTCTCTGGTGATGAGTTGTCGGTATACACATGGGAACCAACTTTGTACATCTCCTGGCCTACTTTTTCTTATTTTCCTATCAGTCGGAGTTCCTTCAGACACTTGTAAAAGCAAGAAGATCAAAGAAGCTAGATTATATAATTTCATATACAGGTATATTGATGATGTTCTTTCCATTAACAATCTAAACTTTTCTGATTGGGTCCATTAATATATCCTCCTGAACTTTAGATTCAAGAAACTACAGATACGGCTTCCTCCTCATCAGTTCTGGACATTTACCTCGAATTTGACAACAGCTGCCATCTCAGTACCATAATTTATGACACACGAGACGATTTCAACTTTGAAATTATAAATTTTCCTCACCTTAGCAGTAATATTCCAACTTCACTCGCGTATGGAGTATACTGTTCTCAACTCATACGATATTCAAAAATTTGCAGCTGATTCTTAGACTTTGTTAAACGTCATCGGTGTGTGAGAAAAAAAATAATGAGCCAGGGTTCGTCTCGTCCTTTAAAAAGTTCATCGAAAAGTACCAAGACCTAATAGATAAATATTCAGTGTCTTCTTCACAAATGGTGCAAGATGGTCTTCAGTTATAGATTATATGTGCTGAAGTTGTGTATCTTTTTATTTTACTTTAGTTTCTCCGTTGTTTGTCTTCGTGCTTTTATATTTCTTTTCGTCGTTTGACTTTTGATGCTACTCTGTTTTTATCGGGATTTTGACTTTTAAACTTTGGGCAGGTGGGTCCTGATGTGCTATTCGGCCACAACGGGTTTTTACAGTGCTTTTTCTATTTTGTTTACTCTTGTATTTATATCTATCTTATTTTTTTCTTTATTGAGAAAGTGTATACTATATACGGTATGTACTATCAACGACAAATACTTTGGTTTTTTGTGACGTCAATGTCTAATTTACGTCACTGATGAGTGCTTTGTAAACAAAACGCGCCTCTGGCTTACAAAATTTTCATATTGGCATCAATGATACGTTTTTAAATATCTACTACACCTTTTTTGTTGGCGTCTTTTTAAGATTAATTTGTATGTTTGTTTGAATTTTTAGTCAGTTGTGTTGTATGTCTGTGATGTATGTTTACACAGTTTTGGCTGCTGGATCATAATTATTGTCACCTTAACCTTTTATGTCTGTTTGGGTTGCTTACCCAAGTATGTCAATATAACAGATCTATAAATCACTTTCATATAAATGGGAGGTTTAGCTAGCTATAAAACCAGGTTTAACCTATCATTTTCTTCAAAAAATGCCTTTACCAAGTCAGGAATATGGCAGTTGAGTTATAATGTGTGATTTTGTCAGTTTTTATGGACTTCCCCTTTTTGAATTTGCCTTGGAGTTCGGTATTTTTGTTATAGTTTTATCTCAAGTTCTATACTAACGCCTGTTTACTTTCAACAATTGAATTTCATAATATAAAAATAAGAAGAAGTGGTATGATTATAGATGAGACAACTCTCCACCAGAGACCAAATGACGTAGAAGTTAACAACTATATGTCACCACACGGTCTTCAGCAAGTAGCAAAACCAGAACCGCATAGTAAGCTATAAAAGGCCCCGAAATGACAAATATCAAACAATTTAAACGAGAAAACTTACTGCCTGATTTATGTAAAAAACAATAAACGAAAAACATCAAATAATTTGGATTAAGACGAGATCCTTATCCGTTTTACCATTCCCCTTGCTTTGAAATTAATATTCTTATAACCCTTGAGTCTTACGACGGGTGATGCATTTCATAGAGGGAGGTGTTTTATTCTATTGATTCACCTTGTTTCTTTCCGATTAACTTCATGCGACTCTGATTGCTTTCACAATTAAGTTGGTCTAGTTATAAAAATTAGGTTGAATGTACAAAGCATACATTCAAAACGTATAAGTCGAGACACAATTTCACAAATCATTACATAGATATCTCACGACTGAGCAACACGAACTCGACCAACAAAAAACTGTGGATTATCTTAGGTATAACTTTCATTATTGTTTTTTAATACAAACATCGGGATACTTTTTCATATTAACAAGCAAAAAGAAAGATATCAATACATCAGAGTTTCAATCAGTATTCATCGCATTGGAAAAAGAGTGAAAACCTAAGATTGGAGCAGAATGTGTACATCGTATGACTACATACTTTACAGATCATGATTTTAATAATTACAATTTATAAAAGCTGTTTCAAATGATAAAAGTGTATCATATTCCATATGGTTTTTGAATACTCTCAGGACTGGCTAGGACATTAACAGTTAATTCCATGTCTTGCTTAAAGGAAGCATTGGTTTGCACGATTAGGAAAATTTAAATGTTTGACTGAGGTTTTTGAGTATTCTAAATGAATCTGGCAAATGTAAGCACGCACTATCAAACAAAACGTATTCGGTACGTGTGATTTTTATCAGACAAATATTTATATTAACATTTGGTAGACTTCGTGTTCCTCAGTCTGTAGTTTTGTAGACAATTGTTTGTCTTTTGATGATTTTTCTGATTTTTTTTTCATGGCGTTGTCAGTTTGTCATCGAATTATGAGTTTAAATAACCCTTCGGTATCTTCCGCCTCTCTTTCACAATGTTCATAACTTCATACTTTAAATAACATACCCAATTTTAATATGTTTTAATATAAAACTACTGACTTATATACATGTTTCGGTCTAAACATCTTTCTTTGATGTTATAACAAATTAATTGACCATAACAGTTAGTTGAGTTTTCATGTGAATACATAGTAGCAACAGGATAACTAGGGAGTTTCACAGTCAATTCATATGTATACGTAGGTAGAATAGTTTACATATCATTAATACAACAGTTCATTGACTTTTTCTGCAAACAGCTAAATTTAAACTAAATATCTTAAGTGTAGAGTCTTGGAATCGTCATAG